ACCTGGCTATCTCAAAAAGCATGGGTCGCAGAATTTGACTCTTTTCTGTAAGCTCATTGACTGTGTTGCAACAACTTCATAACCATTAGAAAGAGAATGAAATGCTACATCAACTGCTATCGGAATCTCTTACATATCTTTGTTCCACGAGATGTTGGCATACGTTTGAAAAAAGCGACATTACTTTCGGAACGACCTAATACTATTGCGAAGCTATACACCAAATCGTTGGGTCAGAACTTCCTAGTTGAAAACCCAAACAACGATGTTAACAAAAAGATGGATTTTGCGCCTTACACACATATTAAAAATTTTTCAAAAATTAGCCTTGGAACTGCTTTGGTTACACAGTGTGTGGAAGCAACAGTCTTGATGGACCCTAGAAGAGATATGACATGCGGACAGCTACGAAAACAGCATTTAAAATACTATATTTAAGAGTATTTGTGCACCTTTGGATGAAGTGGACATCAGAGCAAGGAATGTGGTGCTTTTAACAGAAGCTGAAAAAACAATCATATAGTCTTATCAGTAATTCAGAGCTGATAAGCAATTATTTTGCAACATGCATTCCTAAATGTACAAAACCCATCCATACTGATTACTTGATATGAGTGCTAAGTCTTCATCGCTTTCTTGTACGACTTTTCTGTTGTACATGATGCTTTTCAAAGGTTTTAACACTATGGATTCCAAAAGCTTTCTAACAAGGGAATGGTCAGAAGTCGATGTGGCCACTCCATATAAGCTGCATACCATTCGATGCAGCATAGAGTGCCGATTTCAAATCTGTCTTCTATATCTGCCGTGCGCCTTTATAGGCGAAGTTATGAGCAGCTTTACTGTGAAAAAATCGTGTACAAAAATTGCCACATTAAGCACATTATTGCTCTTTCAGCTCACGTCCAGACATGGGTCATATGAAGTGACCTAGTTGCATCTTCTGGTTCAACACTGAGCCGAGAATGACTATGTACGGCCAAGTTTGCACTTTAGACGCAGAATTTCTTAGCAAAACAATGGCCTTCAACGGCTTATAATTTCGTCCACAAAAGCGCTCTGCAAATAAGGAAGACAGATTTAGAGTCAGCGTTTTATAATGCGTCTAATGGTATGCAGCTTGTATGGATTGGCCACTTCGACTTCTGACCATTCCCTTGTAAGTACATCGCGTTATCAGCTTATTCAACTTCACTCTAACATTTGTATCCGAGCCTTCTTTTGCTCACACCTTGTTGGATGGTCACATCCCAGTTCACTTTTTTCTTTGTTATGCAGGACCGCTCAAGTGATCTTGCCTGCTAGCCTAGGAAGTCTTTCGCATACCTATTGGTAACTATTGATACGATCGGAGACTGGCTAAGTGCACTTATACAACCTACTCCCGAAAACATACTGAGAAGGGAGTTCATAATGGTTGTCTTGAGACGTTAAAATATCTACCTCAAAAATTTGATCTTTTACTAATTCAAGCACAAGCATATGTACAATCTTGATTGCACTAATTTAATCTTGCTGCAGAATAGAGGAAGAGGGTAATCTATATCCTTTCGACTCTCTCCAAAAGTACATGACAGATTCCGAGGCTTCTTGATTGACATACTGTGTCTCAGGGAAAGACTACCTTGGTCAAAAAATCTCCTCTCACATGGGAGGGATCCCGAGTCGCGAAGTCAAATTGATTGAAATTTATACTTGTGCGTCTTAATGAGCTGATTCCAAACCTGCATTCTATACTATATATATACACATATACATAT